AGAATATTATAAAAATGTCTGTTAAATACTTCTTTCCAATTTTTAGGACATTAGTAAGCTTATAGTTAACATACTTAGAAAAATGTAAATTTGGCTCTTAGTAGAGTTTCGCTTTGTGCTACCCGAATTCCCTGAAATGCTCGCCAGTTAGTTTCGGCAACAACCAGAACTCAAATATCAAATTTCAAGAAATTCCATCAATTTGTTCTGTAGATATGGTGAAAAATGTAAAATCGGCCCGCAAATCAGTTCTCGAGCCCTGATCTTTCCAAAAAAGTTATATGTTCATTGCTTTAATATGAGGAGTTCATATATTAAATTTCAATGAAATCGGTTGATTATTTCTCTTTATATACACAAAAGTGTATGTTTGGCCCGTAGTAAACGTCCAGTTGCCGATGCCTGATCTTTCGAAAAAATTTACATGTTCATTGTTTTAATACGGGGAATTTATATATTAAATTTCAATGAAATCGGTTGATTATTTCTCTTTATATACACAAAAATGTATATTTGGCCCGTAGTAAACGCCCAGTTGCTGATGCCTGATTTCTTCCAAAAGTTAGGAATTTTTGCGTATGATCGAGCAAAGCTTATATATGAAATTTTAAGTAAATCGGTTGAATACTTTCTTCAAAATGGTGAAAAATGTAAAATCGGCCCGCAAATCCGTTTTCGAGCCCTGATCTTTCCAAAAAATTTATATGTTCATTGTTTTAATACGAGGAGTTCATATATTAAATTTCAATGAAATCGGTTGATTATTTCTCTTTATATACACAAAAATGTATATTTGGCCCGTAGTAAACGTCTAGTTGCCGATGCCTGATTTCTTCCAAAACATACGAATTTTTGCGGACGGTCGAGCTGAGCTTATATATAAAATTTCAAGTAAATCGGTTGAATACTTTCTTCAAAATGTTCCAAAATGTAAAACAGGCCCGCTAAAAAGTGCAGTTCCCGAGGCCTGATATATACCAAAAGTTGATCGATCCGTGCCATGGTGGAAACAAACTTACATATAAAATTTCATCAAAATCGGTTCAGCCGAACTTGAGATACACGCGCGCACACACAGACCGACAGACGGACAGACCGACAGACCGACAGACCGACAGACCGACAGACCGACAGACCGACAGACCGACAGGTTGCTAAAAATAGTTTATTTACACTTCCCTACTATGGAGAAGTACGTTCCCACCGAAAACTCGATATGCAAAATTTGTTGCCATCACATAACCTACCTATTGTTTACACAATACGGTCGGTAAAAAGATGGTAACCCTTAACTTTAATATTAGAATAAATTTTGGTTCTGACACTTTTTTCTGTTTCTGTTTAATTTGTTTTCTGCTGTTTTCAATTATAACAGTAAATTATTTTTAGAAAAGAACAAGAGCTATGGGTGGTATAATTGATCATTATTTACTAAACATTTTATGTTAAAATAGGAAATTTAAAAACATAGTGAGAGAGAGATAAAACATGTAAAACTTAGGAAGAATTTGAAACAAAATATACGAATTTATTTATTGCCTTTAAATCAGGCTAGGATAAAATTAAAATTTTTATTTGTAATCATTACAACAATGGTACATCTTAGATTTTAATTTTGTGATATGCAACAGTATTACTGAGATTTTTCTAAACAATTACAAATATATTTTCATAAATTATAAAATATCATGCAACAGAAAAATATTGACTATAAAATTTTGTAAATTTTTATAGAAAGAAAATTCTTAAACATTTAGAAATTTATTTGAAATTCTTAAATTTCTTATTGATATAAATCACGTAAATATTTTAACGTTCATAGTTTAACGTTCATTCTTACAGCCAAATATTTTTTAGGATGCATTTGTTATATTGTTGTATAACACGTATATTATTACAAATACAGTGAAATAATCAATATTATTTAAATAAAAAAAAACCTTACAATAGTCTAGTGCATTTGATCAAATGTACGAGTATGTGGGTTTGTAAAATATAAGAAAAAAATTTAAAGTTAACAATTTTCTTGTTATCCTTATCCTCCACATATTGACATTATCACTTCTCTGCTTGTTATACACAAGTATATATAAATGGTTAAAATCATTAATAACTACCCATATTATTCTCAAACTATTATACGAGTATGGGTATATAAATGTTAAGAGTAAATTGGTGTAAAAACTATTATACGAGTATGTATATATAAGAGTAAATTGGTGTAATACTTGTGGAGCATTATAATGTATAATAATGTAGTATATTGCAGTATACCGAAATGTTATACGATAGATTCTTACAATTAATATTGTTGTTATTAGTAACGTGATATTTAAAAAATTTTCATGGTACAAGGTCTTTTGAAAAATAGTTGAAGACGAGAAAGTATAAAGAAAAAGACGATTAAATAAAATATCTACATGTTAGTATTGATATAGAAAAATAAACGTGAATATATAAAGAGCGCATAAAAGAGAGAGAGAGAGAACGAAGAGATAAAATTTTTTAGTATACAAAATGATTTTATATTGTGCAATAAAAAATTTAGATAACGCTGCCAAAAAGTCTTAACTTTAGTAAATTTTATCTTATTAAAATCGTTATGGAGTTGAAAAAAGAAAATAATTTTTCACTAAAGGTGCTGCGTCTTTTCTTTTTGAAAGTGTATAATAATATTGTTGTATTCTCTCTTTTTGTTATTTTTGTATAAGTGTGAATACTTTCTATGTACACTGAATGGGGTTTTTTACTTTCTTTTATAAAAATTTTATAAAGAATTTTAAATATATTTTAAGTTTTACTGTTCTTACGGGGATTTTTCTCTTCTCTTACCCTCTCTTTTATATTAAGTATAAAGTTTGCCTTGAAAATCCTATCTTTATTTGTATATGTATATAGACTCAGTTAGGTTCATGTAACTCTTAATTCATGTACACATGATACGATATTTGTTTTTGTAAGCTAGTATATAGGTATATGTTGATCTTATAAGTGGTTAAATGCTTCATAATAATAAGACAGTTAACATAATGGTTTTCCAGATTTTATTTATGACCTTCATGATTATAATAATATGCTCAATGCTCATGCTTTCAGAAAAATTGAAGAAAACAGCAGTGTGTATAATAGTTTTTTTTTTACCTTGGGTGCAATTCTCTTCGTTTCTAACACCCAAAAAAATATATATATATACATTTATTGTATATATAAATGTATAAGTTCTTAATATATATGTCTGTATGTATATATATATAACATGTGTATGTTATGTGTAAAGTGTAGCCAATTGTTATGAATTTGTTCTAAAAATTTATGAGGTAAGCGCTAGACTAAAATTTTAACAATAATTGCAATTATTGTAGGGGTCATTGTTATTTCTTACAATATCGTTAATTCTTCAATTATTTTTGTACTGGTATAATAACAATTTATATTAATATTGAAACAAAATATAGTAAAATTTGTGTGTTTCGGTAAAATATGGGATAATAATGGATAAAATATAATAAGATTTGTTGCATGTAAGATTTAGTCTAATATTTTTTGATTTTTTTTTGGAATTTTGTTTACAAACAAAATTCTATGGTTACAAGTAATAATATTGTTTAAGTTGTGCCTGGGTACTTTTATATTTTCTTCACAATATAATTATTTTAATGTGATTTCTTCATAGTTCCTGTGTTATAAAAGTTGTTTTACTTCATATAACTTAGTATCGGAATTGTCAGAAAAAGTGCAAATAATTACATAAATTTTTCCAAAAATTTAATTTTGATTTTATACTCCATTGTTTCTAAGCAACAATATTATTGTAGTTATAAACATGTGCACTTATTCAAGGTAATTTTCAATATTTTCCAACAAAATAACGAAATTAAGTCTACATTTTTTTTGTAAATTTCATTTCATTAAACTCACATTTATACCTTAATTTTATTTCTATAATTTTCAAGAAAGAATGTGGATAAATTAAAATATTTTTTCCTAAAAATTTGTGCAGTTATTATACAAATACACTCCATTCTAATTAGCTTGACTTCCATCCAATTTTTCTTAATTATAAAAAGGGTAAAATATATTTTAATAACTTATTTAAAATAATTTACGTATTTCAAGTATAAGGTATTCTCAAAGGTAACCTATAAGTTGATCGGCGACAAATTATTTGGACTTATATAACTACATTACATTACTCTACTGAAATTTGTCTATTATATCAGTAGTTAATAAAGAAAACCTGTTCACTATGAACAAATATATCAGGTCCATATTTCAGAGAAATCTATCACGTTATTTAATATTTTCACGATATTCTTACTAAACTCAATCCAAATTCACAAATATGTTTTCCTTAAATTTTTTAAATTAATTTATAGGTTTAGAATTATTTGAGAAATAAAAGATTTTTTCTACTATGTTGCAATACAAATACATTTTTGATTCTCTGACAAAAAATTACAATGGAAATTCTTTCATAAATAATTTAATAGTCTCCATGAATTCGATAGCTACCCAAAAATCAATAGAATCCTTTAAATTTCAGAACATATTTTAATTAAATTGAAATTTATTTTTCTTATTCATTTTTAAAATAATTTTAAATAATTTAAAATTAGTGGTAATTTTCATTAATTAAAAAAGAAAATTATAATATAAGTATGTATGTATATATATAAAATTCTCATAACCAACACCGAAAGCATATTATAATGCAGAGCTTCAAGCTATTCAAAAAAAAAAATTTAATATTTTTAATATTGAAAGCAAAAGTGAAAAATCGTATTTTTTTTTTTTATCTTAAATGTCGAACTTTCAATTGAAATTCGGCCAAGCGCGTTTTTACTCTTTTTCTTTTGTGATTTTTTTTATTTTATGTAGTGCATAATATTTATAAAAAGTTGCTAAAAGCAAAGCATTGACTTAAATTTTTTTTTTATATTTTCATTGGCCAAAAGAAAAGAAAAAAGAAAAATTATGTGAAATATAAAAATACACAATACCTTTATTATGGTTTTTAATGTTTTCAGGGAAAAAATTATGTGTTTTTTTTTTATAAATGAAGAAAAGAAAAAAATTCAAACTTTATTGAAGGTTATTTAAAGCCAAAATATTTTTCCGATACGTCAATTTACTGATTTAATTGACATTGTCAAATTGTATAAAAGTCTTTTCAGTGTTTTTACTTAATCTGAAACGAAAAAAGAAAAAGAAATTTTTTTTTTATTAAAAATTTTCATATTTAAAATTTTCTATTTAAATTTTTTTTTATAAATATTTTAAATTTAATATGCAAAATTGAGTTTTATTAAAGCTGTAACTAGTGATTAAATTAAAACAGTATAGTTATAAAGGTTAACTTCCATATTAGATTCCGCCTTCAAAGTTGACTTGTTAAACTTTTTTACTAAATTGCAAACAAAAACATTTTATTAAATTTTATATTCTGTGCCAGCATTCCTTAAATAAAATTATTATTTACAAAAAGTAACGTGAAATTTTTCGAGGCGCTCCCTTCTTTTTTCTGCGTATTCACAACGATTTCCAAACAATTTAGAACTTACTGTATTGTCGAAAGCTTTTGAAATACAATAAAGAACATGAAACATTGTTGGGAAGTCAGGAATTGTTATAATATAAAGTGTGTTCACTTTCTTCCTCTGGGAATGCAACCACAATATTATAATAATATAAGTTGTTGATTTCAAATTCTGAAGCTTATATTGTTTTTATTAAACTAATATACTAAATCAAATCAATCCAATTATATTTTAATTAAAATAGCCAAATATAATAAAAAAATTTTAGATAGCAGCTTACCTATATTAGTTAGTTAATTCTTTTGATTGGAGTTATTAAATCTGGTATGTGTAATTACAATAAAACTTAAGTGTTATAATACAGTGGCATAATAAAATATCAATATTAATATAAAATATATAGTTAAATTTTTAAAAATCCGCTTACAAAGCCTATATGATGATACAATTCCACTAATAATTCGAGGATTCATGATAGTATCCATTAGGCTCATACGACCTAAAACAGTGGACCTAAAACAGTGGACACATTGTCTTCCAGTATATTAAACTGTTTAACTTAAGAAAATTAATGTTTGTGAACTATTTCTTATTGTATTTTTGTAACACCTACATAAATTTATTAAATTTCAATAAAAAGGAGTTATTTTCTAAAGTATACTACAGTTTATGATAATTTTTGAGTGATATATAACTCGACCAGCAAACCATGATATATTATTAAAATATATGGAAACTTTAAAGAAATAGAAAAAATGTTGTCTTAAATTATAAAAATTGGCCCACAATAAAAATTATATTCTCATATGAATATTGATTGTGAAGCAATTTTATTTTTTCATTAGAGTCTTTCGAAATTAAAATTAATTTATAGAGAGATGTACATATGTATATTGTATAAGCCCCCTGGTTCATATACTGCAATATTAAATGATTTTTCTCTAAAATATTGAATATGAATCGTTCTTTATATTTTTAAACATTTATGTATAATATTCCTAATTTATATAGACTTATTTAACTCACAATACTACATACTCTTGGATACGAACTTATTTAATATGTATATTAAGATTTATAACAGTATCATATAGAATAAAATGTATATGTGTGTGTGTGTAAAATTCGAAATACAATATAAATTTTACATTTTATTTGCGATTGGATTGTAAAACTTTTCAACCAAAATCAAAAAATTAGAAGTAAAATTAAAAAAAAAAATGAAAAAAAATGAAAGCACGAACCAAGAAGAGCACATAATTTGAATTGACATTTTCGCTTTCCATTTCCATATAACGGTGAAATTCTTCTCATTTTACTTATGCTTTTTTATTTTATGACTTTTTTTTTATTGATCATTTTTTTTTGTGTTTGTTTGTATTTTTGAAATGACAATTTTGGGGGCAGAGGTTTTTTTTATTTTATTGAAATATCGGGTCTTGTACCACGCGAATCGAAGTATATGTATATATATATATATATATACATGTACACGCAAATACATATATATAGCTTGTATTTTGCCATCTTAATGATGTTAATTTTTTGTTACATGAATAAAATAATAAAATGTAAAAATAAAAATAACAACAATAATAATAAAAAAATATAAATTCTAAAAGCTATCGCCACCAGGCAGCGTTAGTATTATAAAAATTCACTTAGGAATTTTTGTTATTGTTTCGTTAATGAATTTGTGTTACATGCCACTCAATACTCTCTACCTACTAACCAACTAACAAGCCAACGAAAAAAAAAAAAAAAACAAAAAATTTAGAAAAAAACATTTGAAAAGAAAGAATGCATAAGAGAAAAAGAGACGAAAGGAAAATAAAATAACAAGCTTTTCATTATGTTTTTTTTTCTTCTTCTTCTTTTTGTTTTTGTCATTGACTTTTCAAAATGGCTACTTTTTATCAATTTGATTGCGTAGGTAGGTATAATATATAAACATAACCTAACATACCATCCACTACATAAAACAAAAAATATAAAAGAATTACATAGAAAGCACAAAGTACAACAAAAAAAAAAAAACAAATCCTTAGAATTCGTAAAAAAAAAAAAGTGAAACAAGGATATTTGAATATATAATGAATGAATAAGGTACGGTTGAACTTTTTAGAAAAATGATGAAGAGAATAAGAATGTTTAGGTATAAAATAAACAAGAGAAAATCATCAATACATGCATAATAATTTTTACCGACCGTATTGTGTAAACAATAGGTAGGTTATGTGATGGCAACAAATTTTGCATATCGAGTTTTCGGTGGGAACGTACTTCTCCATAGTAGGGAAGTGTAAATAAACTATTTTTAGCAACCTGTCGGTCTGTCGGTCTGTCGGTCTGTCGGTCTGTCCGTCTGTCGGTCTGTGTGTGCACGCGTGTATCTCAAGTTCGGCTGAACCGATTTTGATGAAATTTTATATGTAAGTTTATTTCCACCATGGGACGGATCGATCAACTTTTGGTATATATCAGGCCTCGGGAACTGCACTTTTTAGCGGGCCTGTTTTACATTTTTGAGCATATTGAAGAACATATTCAACCGATTTACTTGAAATTTCATATATAAGTTTTGATCTACCGGCGATGAAACCTCCTAACTTTTGGAAGAAATCAGGCGTCAGCAACTGGACGTTTACTACGGGCCAAATATACATTTTTGTGTATATAAAGAGAAATAATCAACCGATTTCATTGAAATTTAATATATGAATTCCTCATATTAAAGCAATGAACATATAAATTTTTTGGAAAGATCAGGGCTCGAAAACTGATTTGCTGGCCGATTTTACATTTTTCACCATTTTGAAGAAAATATTCAACCGATTTACTTGAAATTTCATATATGAGCTTTGTTTGACCGTCCGTGAAAATTCCTAGCTTTTGGAACAAATCAGGCATCGGCAACTGGACGTTTACTACGGGCCAAATATACATTTTTGTGTATATAAAGAGAAATAATCAACCGATTTCATTGAAATTTAATATTTGAATTCCTTGTATTAAAACAATGAACATGTAAATTTTTTGGAAAGATCAGGGCTCGAAAACTGATCTGCGGGCCGATTTTACATTTTTCACCATATCTACGGAACGAATTGATGGAGTTTCTTGAAATTTGATATTTGAGTTCTGGTTGTTACCGAAACTAACTGGCGAGCATTTCAGGGAATTCGGGTAATAAGAGCCAAATTTACATTTTTCTAGGTATGTTAACTATAAGCTTACTAATGTCCTAAAAATTGGAAATAAGTATTTAACAGACATTTTTATAATATTCTGTAACACTTTCACTTAACTAGACAATATACATTGCGGTCGGTTATGTGCTGACCACATCAGATTTTTTTATAGAGCTTCAAAGTAACCGTTTTACAAAATGTAGTCAAAGCACTTGTTTGAGTTCATATTCCTAGATGATTTTTACGTAATTTTAAGCAACAAAGTGAAAATGACTTCGGAAATCTATGAATTAGTAAAACTGAGTATAAATCTTTGATATTAGCTGCAAATTTTTATTAAATTTTCAAAAAACATAAAGTAGTTCATTTAAGGGAATAGAATGTTGCTCCGGATGTCCTATTGGTAAAAAAATGGCAGGAAAAATTTACTGTATGAGACGAATCTAATTGTATAATTTAGTCATTTTATTTGAGTTTTTATTGATATTAAATTTTGTAAATTGTTAGCAATACACTCCTAAAAAATTTAGATTAATAGACATTGAAGTAAGCAATGGAACCATTTTTTTTGTATACAAGAGGAACAAAAGTGATATAATAATCTATGAAAATATAGTGAAATACGGGTATAGTGGATGGTAACTGAATTAGAATAGAAAATGGTTAATGTTAATATGCAAAATCAAACCAGAGAAATTAATGTTTTCAAAATTCACTTACACAGTGTAGTGAAATTGCTACATTTGAATCAAATAATAAACACTTACAATGAAGCCATAAACTTTGGGTCAACGTTTTTCATTTTATTTTATTTTTTTACCGACCGTATTGTGTAAACAATAGGTAGGTAATGTGATGGCAACAAATTTTGCATATCGAGTTTTCGGTGGGAACGTACTTCTCCATAGTAGGGAAGTGTAAATAAACTATTTTTAGCAACCTGTCGGTCTGTCGGTCTGTCGGTCTGTCGGTCTGTCGGTCTGTCGGTCTGTCGGTCTGTCCGTCTGTCGGTCTGTGTGTGCACGCGTGTATCTCAAGTTCGGCTGAACCGATTTTGATGAAATTTTATATGTAAGTTTGTTTCCACCATGGCACGGATCGATCAACTTTTGGTATATATCAGGCCTCGGGAACTGCACTTTTCAGCGGGCCTGTTTTACATTTTTGAACATTTTGAAGAAAGTATTCAACCGATTTACTTGAAATTTTATATATAAGCTCAGCTCGACCGTCCGCAAAAATTCGTATGTTTTGGAAGAAATCAGGCATCGGCAACTAGACATTTACTACGGGCCAAATATACATTTTTGTGTATATAAAGAGAAATAATCAACCGATTTCATTGAAATTTAATATATGAACTCCTAGTATTAAAACAATGAACATATAAATTTTTTGGAAAGATCAGGGCTCGAAAACGGATTTGCGGGCCGATTTT